GTGCATAGATATCCTATGGATCCAGCCATACCTTCTGAAAGGAAGTGTTTGGAGTATAATTTACTATGATCTGGAGGATTTTTGTACCTTCTCAGACAGTGTTTGGATCCGTAGGGATTTATGATAGATGAGTACATAGATAAACACAAATAGCAGAATGTATTACATATATATATATATGCATCCATATTATTATAGGCATCCAGCCAGATAGGCGGATAGATATAGATGGATGGATAGATAGATATGTAACTGAAAACAAAAGGTGGCAGACAGCAGCGCCTTTTCACTGCTTCTGCTCGTGTGAATCCCCCACACGATAGGGCCTGAGCCCATGTCTCCGCTGGCGAGGTCGAGCTTTGTTCAATGATGCGTATTGCATCCCACGCTTTCACATGGACCACACTTTATGTTGAACAAAGCGTGGATTTCAAGGATTCGCTGGTGCCCAGTCTCGGTAAGAGACCATCTTCCCAATCCCATAACTTTCTGGAGGAACCCGGGAGGCATTTTCTTGGTTAATGGGTCCGATATCATGTTGGTTCCGCTGACCCAGCGGACTTGGCCTTTTGTTCGCTCCAGGTCGTCCTTCAGGATGGTCAGGTCAATGGCCGTCCTCTTGTCATCTATGTGGGCCGACGTGTTCCTGCACTTGTTCACCGTGTCATATAAGGACTTTGAGTCCGTCACTGCGATGAATGGTCGCCCTTGAAGTTCTCCTTCCCAGGTGTCCAATTTGAGGTTGCCACCAAAGACTTCCGCCAGCATGAATCGATGCCAGTGGACATTGCCGATGCCCTGAATCATCGACTGACACTCTGCACTGAGTGTGTTCACAGTGCACCGTTTCAGCTTGTAGCTCTTCCAAGCTGCAATCGTCATCATCTCCAGCTGCTCCGAAATCTCCAGGTTGGCGTCATAGTAAACCAGCAGGTATCCACCCTGACTGTGTCTCCTGGCCAATTGGAGAAATCTCTCGTTGATTGGACGGTTCACTTCTTCCTCCACTGTCGACTTGAGGAAGATCGTCTTCCCGGTCCATGGTTGGTCTTGGTGTTCTCGTATTCCATCTTTTCCGTCCCACTCATCAGTGCTCGTTGACATACTCGTGGATGTAGTTCTCCTCCGGGAAATAGAGTGAAGATCTGGGCCGTCCGGTGCTGCTCCAGGATGAAAAAGAAGACGCCGTGGTAGTAGATGATGCCTGATCCAGCTTGATGGTGTTTCTTCCCAGTAGTCCTTCTTGGAGTCCTCTAGGTATCGTTCACCTGAGTTTCCCCAACTGGCATCAGTGATCACTCCTACTCGGAGTCGTTCCAAGGGAATCGGCTGAATCCTGATCCCGAGCCCTGGTCTCCGCTTGAGCTCCTCCGCCACCTGGTTCGCCTCGATGACGTCCTTGACCATAGGGCTCGGCATGGTCTGTTGTAAGATGGCCACCTTTCCCGCAATGTCTGGCCTCGTCTCCTTGGCCACCCATGACAGAGCTCCCAGTAAGGTTCGTAGTTGTCCGACTTCTTCTGGGGTGCACTGGGAGTATCTTTGCTTCTTTCTCGCCTTGTCAATCTTTATCACGTTGACCTTCTCCTCGATGTAGTGCTTCTGATGGACATAGATCGATCCATCATCTGCCGGTTCCACCATCTTTCCAGTAAATTTTCCACTCCCAGTTGTGTACTTACCCATTCGCTAATTCTGTCGCAGCCAATCCATGTGTTCCCAGTGTCTGGCGGTTCCGCCGTGAATCATGTCGTCAGTGGCCAGGGCGATGATTCCGTCCATCTTGGTCTTGTCCTTGTCGTACAGGATGAAGAGGCAGGGATCTGCCTTGCTCTTCTGATAGCCTCGGCTCTCCAGTACTCTGCTGAGATGTTGGTACCACTGGTATGGTCCGTCTGTGAGGCCATAACACGTTTTGAGAAGTCTCAGCAGCTGTCGTTCGTGAAGTCCTGGGACACCTTCTGGTGGAAGTGAGCAGTATAGTTCCCGTTGGATCCGATCACCACTGTGGAACGCCTGGGTAAAGTCGAGGTGACCAATCGTCCACATCATACTTGCCAGAATCTGTAGGACGAAGAACACAGTTTCCTTCGCCACCTGTGGTGTCGTAGACTCCAGGTTCTCTGCATTGGCTTCTGAGTAGCCTTTCATCACATGTCGTGCTTTTGCTTTTAGCACTTCGCCCTCCTTGTTGTCCAGCAGTAGGCCCTCTTTTTGCAGCGACTCCACCTCATGAGGTTCAACTGGTTTCTCCGTGAGGACGTATCTGCTCTTCATAATCAAATCCGGCTTTTCTCTTCTAATTTTCTCGGACTCCTCTCTTGAGAGCCTGGTAGGCACCAGACTGCATGTTATTCTTGATCTCCTTGAGGATCGCCTTGTCAAACTTCATCTGGTTGCTCTTCTCCATGTTCTTGTAGTTGGTCTCCTTCCGCTTTCTGGCGAGAGCGGTCTGTTCCAGTTGAGTGAACATAGCCTCCAGCAGTTCCGCTCGCTGTCGCTTCGTAGGTCTCTCTTCACCTTCTTCAGGAGGTCCTCCATGTCGAACTTGCCCTCGTTCATGTTCTCCATCTTCGTCTAGTCCTTGTTCTGTCCTTAGGTCGTTGGGCAACTGGTCATTCTTCAGCTGTCCAGGTTGCTCTTCTTGTATTTCAGGTAGTTCTTCTCGAGGTTCCTGCTCCAAATCCTCAGTTCGAGCAGGCGTTGTTGGCGCCATCGACACCGAACGTGGTGGTGATCCTGGGCTTGGTTGATTTTCTCCTTCGTCGATCCTTCTCCTCTTCTCCAAGTAGATGTCCGGCTGGAACTCGATGTCCTCCTCCTTGTGTTTTCCCATCAAGCGGTGTCGAGGTACTTGAGGTGGTAGAGGTGGCTGAAAGTCCAAGGCGTCCGGGGGCTTCTCATCGAGGACGATATAGCCCTTGTACTCATTCTCCTGCAGCTTCTTCTTGGTGTCGAGGATGTCTTGGATCCAGTCCGTCAGGATGAACTTCTCCTCCTCTGCTATCGGCCTCAAGTGTTCTGGACAGGCCTTGACGATCCTACCTCGATGTGCAATCCACACCGTGGTCGGCAGATTTGTCAGGATCACCTTGGCTGGCCCATGCCAGAAGTAAGGGTGATCTTTCTTGCCTCGCTCCATCCCCTTCTTCCAGTAGTAGACCGTTTGCCCGATTTCATAGTGTTGCCATACTCGTGGTCCAGCATGTAGGGCATTTCTCAGTGCCTGTTCGCTGTCGGCCTTGTGGTATGCTATAGCTGCTGCTGTTCGCAGATCCATGGCCCTTTGAACTTGTAGGTCTCCTGCAGCATACCTTGACGCAGTGGATAGGTCATTGAATCCACCGCTCATCAGACTCCCCGGAATTCGGGGGCTGTATCCCAGCATCCGTTGGACAGGGCTGAAACCCGACTTGTTGGCCAACCGGTTGACAGTAGCTGTCACCACATCGACTGTCTCTTGCCACTCATCCCAGCTGTTGCAGGTGACCTCCATGAGAGTCTTTGAGAAGATCTCTTTATAAGTTCGTCCAGCTCGTTCTGTCAAGGATCTCTGGGTTGGCGACTCCAGGGATCCAGGGTCTAAGATGGCCGCGTCCTGGTCAGCCATCATCTCAAAGCATCCTCGAAACTCCTTGCCCAAATCGTCGTAGATCCGCTCAGGCGTTCCAAAGATTCTGGTCCATTGGAGGAACGCACGGCGAGCTGATCTTGGAGTGTGGTCTTGTAGAGGTATCACCAGTTGGAACCTGGTAGCCCAGTCGACGATGTTGAGTGCCATCTTCCGTTTGCCATTGAACTGCAGTCCAGGCAAATAGATCGTGTCCACTCCAACGATCTGGTTTGGCGCCAAGTCTCTTGGTGGCGCAGCTGCTCGAGCCGGGGCCGTGTGTTTGTGCCTCTGGCAAACATCACACTGTAGCTTTTTGGCATACTCCACCGCCTCTTTCCGTGCTCCTGCTTGGTGAAGTATCCTGGCCAGTCGGTCGTTGGCCACATGTCCCAGTCCACAGTGTGCTCTTCTCACAAGCTGTTCTACGCTCAGTGGTCTCTCACGTGGTAGCCACGGTCCAGCTACCTCTCCTCCTTGGTCTTCAATCTCAGCTTCTGCCCCTGCGTCTTCGTTGACCGCCATGACGTCAGAAGCGTCCAAGTTCTTTAGGTCCCCGTTATTCGTTGAGACCTTGACATTCTTTACAGCTTGGTCGTTCTGGAGGGGCTGGTCATTCTCAACGTGGAACACGTTCTCAGTGTGATAGGTCTCCTCGATCAGGTCCACGTCCCGCACCACCTTGATCTTCTCCTGCAGCGGATGTTGAAGAGACCGGGCATAGGCACCAAGGATAGTGTCCACTAGCTGCTTCGGGTACTCCTGGGCTCTCTTTGATCTCGAACCTCCTGGACCCGAGCCGAACACTGGCATGTGCTCATGGGTGTGATCACACTGCCGATCCAGCGCCTTCGAGACCATGGCATTGTTACAAAGCCAACCAGTCGGCTTTTTGTGAAGATAGCCTTCAGCTGATCTGAGCCCAAACATGCATTGGTCGTTTACTGTGAACTGAACTCCTGGCTGTGCTGCAAGTCTTTGAACCTTTGGTTCCTTCCATGCCTTGGACGTGTGTGGCTGTTCTAACAGGAAAGTTCCACCATATGACTGCACCAACTCACAAATCTCACATGAGAAATTCAACAAAACCTTCGCCTGAATGAGCCTCTTCACAAACTCCCTATGTTTCGTTTCATCAGTGAGATGTTTCATGTTGAGGTTCTGCAACTGACTTAACATGGTGCATGGAGTTGACAGCACAACAAGCCCTGGTTTCATTCCCCCGACATACTCCCTTACCAGTTGTCTCTGACGGCTGTCCAGCAAGTTCTGTCCCAAAGTCAAGTCAAACGCCATTCCCTGGTCCAGTCCATGTTTCTGAGTTCTGGGTCCAAATCGTTCTGGGTTGAACACTTCGGCCACTAGTCGCGCTTTCTTCTTTGTAACTCCTAGCAGACTGGCCAGTCTCTTCAGCTGCCGCCGGTCAGAGATCCGACGTGGATTCTGATCATCAAAAATACCCTGGGCCATTTTGGCCATGTTCTGATCAGACCTAGGTGAGTCGCTTTGGACATAGGTTATAAGGTTCTGCCACATACCGGCTGTCTCTCCGAGCGCCGTCTGTGCTCGTCTAAGCACATGATTAACTCCCTTGTCCCTTTGTTGGTCACCTTGGTCCTCATCAGAATCTACTTCTTCTTCGAGTTGCTCGAGGTTGCCGTCCCCGGGTCGCTCCATACTCCCCGAGCTTGGCACGCCCCCGACCTCTTCCACTCCAGATAGTCCTGGTATGTTGGCTCCACTTCCTTCTGGCGTCGTTCGATCTCTTTCTGCTTTCCCAGTTCCGTGACCTCGGACTTGAGAAGTTTGCCACACGTCGCACACTTCACCACGATCTTGTACGGGTTGGTGCCCCTCTTGTCGGTCTTGGTGTGTGGGCACTGTCGCTGTAGCTCCTGGATGATGTTCTCCACGGGGGTCTTGGACTCCTGGCTGGAGATCGTTGGGGCGTAGTCCTCCGGCTCCAGGTCGTTCTGGTAGATCGGATCCAGGTACGGCTGGGTCTCGCGCCACACAAAAGTGGAGCATTGGTTCCCTCGTGGCCTCGGGCACCTCCAGAACAGTCTCTTGTAGTTGGGACCCTGCTTGCGACACACGAAGAGCTTGGTCGTCTCCTGATGATCGCACCTCAGTGGCGGTCCCACCAGTCGTAAGACCTGGTCTGTCACCAAGTCCTGCCCGATCACTGCACTGGCTTGGCTTGATGCCACGGAGTTCACTCCCAGGCCAGTGCGTCCGCTCGTCATTGAGATCACCTCGAAGTCGTCCCGCATCCCGCTCGAAGATGCCCTCGGTGGTGTCCTGGAACTTGCCGTTGTCATTCTCCCGGGTGAAGTGTAGCCCCTGGTGTCCTGGTCCGCCAGTCGCCGTGGTCGAAGAAGTCGAAAGGCCATCTCGTTGACCCTGGAGAGCACAAAGATCAGCTTGAGGAACAGGCGGCACCACGCCTGCAGTGCCACTTGGCGATCTTCGACTGGTCGAGATCTCTTGCGCTCGGACTCCATCACCGCAACTCGAGGTTGGAAAAGGTTCGTGGCACCGCGGTTTATCCTTGGGCCTTTCGTGCTCTGGCAGGGCATGGTTCAGCTGGCAGTCAGTTTTCAAGACTTCAAACTCAGTATTGTTTTGTTTGAATTGTTCATGGAGTTGGCTTAACTGCCTGATTTGAAGTTTGGAAAACTTACACAACGGAATCCGTAAAGCACCTGAAGGTCCAATGTGACATGGGGTCGTGAAATCAAACTGTTTGAAATTGATTCTCAAGCCATCTTTGGGGTCCAAAAACAACGTGGAGCGACAGAACATCAAAAAGGGAAGAGAAATCAAGAATGGGGCATTGCGACTTTCACTATTTTCAAACACAGCAGGTTTCAAAACACTACCTTTCCTCCCTAGTCCTGTGGGGATCACCGCAACCTGGTTTGTGACAGAACGGCCATGTACTGAACGAAATCTATGTTCTTGGTTGTGAAGATGGACAGGTAGTTCATCAGGTAAATGTTTTGCAAGTCGCTTCAAAGTTTCGATTCCAATGGCCATCCTTTGACATCCAGTGTCTACAGTTGCACATGCTTCATCTGGAAGATCCCATTCAGAGCTTCGTCCGGTCCAAGAGTCAACAGAAACCCCATGACATTCAGATTCCATTTCACCCAGAAAAACCTCCCAATCATCACTCACTCGGTCCTTATACCGGGACATGGGCTTGACATGTTCAAAACTGTCGTTGGATCCTACACTACCTACATAACTCAGGCTGACCTCGGCCGTTTTGGCCTCATCATTTCCTCGGGCACTCAGTTCATCTTCAGGTTGATATTGGGCTCGTTCTTCATCCACCTGAGTCCTCTGGTTGTTGTCGGTCTCAAGAAGGCCGCAGAAGGTGGCCTCGTCCGTCTGGAGGTAGTGCTGCTCCTTCTCCGCAGGGGCTCGATGGAGATCTGGACACTCCCTGTGCCAGTGTCCGATCTTGTGGCAGTGGCCACACTTCGTCACCTTCTTCACCTCCTCGATGTCATTCGGTACTGGCCAGACTTGAATGGCTGGCGGCCAGTTGTCGTGTTGGTATAGGCCTTGCCTCTACCTTTTGCTGGCACATGATAGCCACGACCCAACTCCTTGGCTTTCTTCGCCTTCTGGCTCTGTGCAAAGCTCCTCTTCTTGTGGAGCATCGTGTTCAAGATCTCCATGGCCTCGTGCTCCTCAATGACCGGTCCTTCGTCATCTTGGGCTGTGGGAAGTTCACCAGGTGGTTCTCCATCTTGTAGATCTCGGATGGCTGACTCCAGGGCGAAGATCTCCTCGTCATCCAAGTCAGTGTCGTCATCGTTCAGCATGTAGTGTCCGCTGCCCTTCGTCACATTGCCATTCTTTTTCTCTACTCCCACCTGGTTGACCTGTAGCTTGGTCTCGTGCTTCCGGACCCACTCCTTGATGTCCTTCGGCACGATGCTGCCATGCGTGAAGTTCATCATCGACTTGATCTCCTGTTCGTTCAGGCAAAGTGCCTGAATGAGGAGAAATCCGATGTACTTGTCCGGGAGCTGCACCTTGTGCTCGGTGACCTTCCGATAGGCCGATTCCCATCGGTTGAAGAAGGCTCGATAGGCCTCGCTCTTCTCTCTTCGGACATGGTACGTCACCTTTGCCAAGGCGCTCAAAAGATCTTCATCTCGATCGTCCCCAAAGTACTCGGACTGATCCATCATGTTGCTCCTCACCATTCGTCTCGCTCTGCATCCAGTTGTTGTCCTTGGCGAGGAACTTCATAGTCTCAAAAGGAGTCTTTGAGAGCTTGGACAACAGTAACGGCCCTCTCGTGCGGGGTTTGCTACGTGTCGTAGCTAGCCAGAGCCTCGCCTTGATGACATAGTCCTGGAATGCCAAGCTCTCTCCGTCCCACTCGGGCGCAGGTCCAGCATTTGTTCGGCCATCATCATCATGCCGATCTGAATCCACACTACTCGTTCTGCGGCGTCGCCGCTCAGCACCACGGTTGCGATCACGGGTTCGCATCCATGCTCGAAACTCCTCACTGTCAAAGCCGTCATCCTGGTCGGCTTCCTCTTCATAGTCAGCTGCTACTGAACGTCCGGCTGATCGTCTTTCAGCCCTCAGGGAATTCAGCTCTGCAGCCCTCATTGGCATACTCGGCCCACCTTGGCCTGCCTCACTTCTCGATCCTCCACCCAGCGCATCATCGCTGCCATGCGATGAAGGTGGCACTGGGTGCTCCATTGCGCCTACGTCGGATGCCCGGATGTTTCCCGGGCTCCGCTACCACTGAAAACAAAAGGTGGCAGACAGCAGCGCCTTTTCACTGCTTCTGCTCGTGTGAATCCCCCACACGATAGGGCCTGAGCCCATGTCTCCGCTGGCGAGGTCGAGCTTTGTTCAATGATGCGTATTGCATCCCACGCTTTCACAGTAACATACACAAAAGCATGATATTTCCAAAATCTTCGGGAAAAATGGGTAGTTGATTATTGTTATATCTACATTAATTTTAAGGACCAGGCATAACCATGATCTGACTCTCCATCGGTCGATCTCTGTCGATATCATATCCCACGAATGCAAAGCATCCGTGGATGCTAGGAGCACTCCTGGCGCTCATCATCGCAAAATACCAAAGCTGGTTGGTGGTTTGGAACATGACTTTTATCTTTCCATATATATATATATAATATGTAGATATGTATTATATATTTCCATTGGGAATAACTATATATCCCAATTGACTAATATTTTTCAGAGGGGTTGATTGAAACCACCAACCAGATACAAGGTGGCCTGCAATGTGGGCCCCCTCAATAGCTGCTAGCTAAGTTGGTTTATACAGTAACTGGGTGAATTCTTTGGTTTATTGTACTTAGAACTATAGTTACTTTGGTTTATAAACCAACAGACATAACTGGGGGGGCGACATTGTACAAGGTGGCCTAGTTCTAAGTTGGCACACATACACCCCATTAAGTATACAGTAGTTATACTTAGCATATCTTAGCTTAAAAGATAACTCACCTAGTGTGGTGAACCTGATAATCAACAATGCCCAAAATCACCATGTTGATGGCTTGGATTGAGAAATGGTTTTCACAAAATGCCCAAACGGTAGTTGTTCATTATGGGTTTTACCGCAAAAAAAGGAAACAAACTACACAATACACAACTGGGCTATATTATGAATCACTTTCAAAATTCATGAAACTAGACTGCCATAGTTCACACTAGATGTATATATATATATACACACATGTATATGTATATATGTATGTATCTATATATATATATATATTTCCATGGAAGCTATTACCATATACTTCCTACACCTAGGTCCTATAGGACCTAGCTACGCCTCGATTGTCGTCAACCTGCCCCAAGCTGCGCCAGGTCTATCCTCTTTGTCATGGTCGAAGACTTCGACGACCACGTGCCTCGATTCCTGCGCAGTTGGGTAAATTTCAGAAAACGACCGAAGCCGTCGTTCTCCCGAGCCCTGGGAATCCATGGGTTTTTATAGGGAAATCATTCCCTTTTATGGCCTTAATTCAGATCCGGTCGGCGTTTGCTTCAGCTGGGCGTCGGCCGGCGAAGGGAAGATGGTGGGCCTTAATCCAATAGGGGAATCCCTATAAAACAACCAGTATAATAGAATGAGAGAGGGATTTTGTTTCCACTGCTCAGTTGATACGACGAATGGCTGATATCTTAAGCTGTAAGCAGCTGTTTATGGGGAAAAAACATGGAAAATCAATGAAGGTTCAATGGGTATACTTTGGTTTAATATGATTCTTTAGGGATGATCATGGGATTATACTATGGTTTACTATGGCATGGTTTAATATGGGCTTACTATGGTTTACTATGGTTTAATATGGGTTTACTATGGTTTACTATGGTTT